AGCCGCCCGGGCTCCGAGCCGCCCGAACCCCCCCGAGCCCCTCGGGCCCCTCCGTGCCCCCCGGTCCGGGGCCTGCGGGCAGCAGCAGCAGCGTCCCCGGCCGCCGCAGGGGCCGCGTACAGATTGTTCACCTGATGCGAGCTGCAAGTGCCGCTTGTTGTTGCCGAGCCTTATGTTGTGTGCATATGGTAACTGCCAGCAGAAGAGAATAACGCATTTTGGGCTGTAGCTTAAAACTTTGGTAATGTTCCTTTGCTTCTCCCTGCTTGAGGCGTTTTATTCGTTTGAGTGGAGAGGAAATGGTAGAGGTATGTATTCGTTGGGTGAATGTCGTCTTAGGAACTTGAAAGCAGTTTGAAGGTCTTATTTGTTTGTTTTATGTGATATCGTAAACTCTGTTAGGGGTATAAATTGGCCGTTATTATTATCATTACTGTTTTTATAGAGGTGCACACGTCTGGGTGCCGTGAACAGCAGCCATACCTCAGTGGTGTGTAGCTGCAATAAAGTTGGTGTTACAGAGTGGCTCACCCGGTGGCTTTGGGGGCACATGCAGCTGGCACAAGGCTGATGCGTGGTTCCCAAAATGGCACTGCATCTGTAATTGCTGGGGTGGCTGTTGGATAATCTCAGATCTGCAGCTGGTGTGTGGATTTTAAGGCTATTGTTGCTWGAGATTCCTGTTTCCTCAGCCCAGTACTATCGGCAAAGAGGTAGCAGTGCTCTTGAGGAGCTGTTTTTGTCTCTGTGGGCACAGGTGGCTGAAGCTCCCCTTCCCTCACCTCTCTGAGGTATGTGGTGTGTGTTGTGTGGCTCCTGGCCACATGAAGGTTTTGGTATGCAGYTCATGGGATCAGTGGTGTTGGCCCATTGGGTATGTGCACAGGTGCTGTTTGTGTATCATGGGTACCAACATGATTTTGCACTTGGCTCGAGTCTTCTACCAGACAATATTTTTACACAAAATAAAGCTGGACCCTTYTGTAAGGAATGGAGAGTTTTCCAAGTTCAAGACTTGCAGAAGGTTTTCTTTTCTKCCTTTATTTTCTATTCTGTACTTTCCTWCCAAGAAGAACTTTTGAAGTATTTAATCTCTGGTTGTGATGAAGGTGTGTTTCTGGTGCTTTGAGGAGCCAGGCTGGAAGCAGCTCAGAGCCATTGCTTTCCATGCATCTTGTGGTGCTGCTTCCTAGGTTGGTGTAACACAGAAACCCTTTGGTTGGCATTTCTCATTCTGAAGCAGGACTTATTCAGGGTGCTTAGCAAACTAGAAATGATGTGTATGGGAAATATTTTTATAGCTGAAAGKGTATTCTGAGACTCTGAAATTTGGCTAAGAGGTAAATAATTCCTCATAAAAMGTAATAAGGAAAAGATATACTACTGACATTTAAAAAGGAAGTCTAGGTTTCTTCTGCTTCTTGGGCATCAGCTTGGATTTGATCAGTGGCATCTTATTTGTCTGTGGGTTTGCTGTCTCCAGCTTGAGATCTTTGAGATCTTTGAGATCTTTGAAATCTTTGTTCCCCACTTCTTCCCACTCTCTTATTTTTCAACACTCCTTCACCACCAAAGAAATGACCACCAGTTTTTCCTTAGAGCAAAACAATTGTATTTTTCTGTCCTAAGTAAGCTTTTCATTATACCTGGCACTGACAGTCATTTTAAGTGCTGCCACTTGCCTTTCTCAAAACAGGGTTATGTCAAGAGAAATTGTGTTGCTGCTTGTGTTTATGTAGTAGTACTGTAATAGGAAAACACTTGTTCTTGGTACAGTGAATGCTGTATTTTACTAATGATAGTGATTTATGGGTGCTGCTCAAAATAGCTTTCAGTGCTGATGTGACTAATTGTGCTGTTTGAAAAAGCTCCTTTATTCCCAGTAATCTCAAGGTGTTTCTGCAGTTTTAGAGAAGTGCCTGATCAATGCACATAACTGCACAGGGAGATAGAGAACTTGCAGGGGAGTGTGGCAGCTCTCTCAGGAGCTTATGCTGTGCTGCAGAACCAGTCGGGGCTGAGAGTGAGTATTCTTGTGGTGATTGTAGGTAGATAGAATGTTATTACTGAATTTGGGTGTTAGCCAATGCAACACCCTACATGTTGCAAACAATGGCAGGGTATTGTTAGTGGCTACAGAAGGGGTTTATATCATACATGAAACATGACATTTCCAGCAGCATGGGTAACCGCAGCACAGGGCATTGTGTTGAGGCTGCCTCTGAGGGCAACTGGTGGTGCTGTGCTTGACAAAAAAACTGTGGTATAATTGTTCTGGTCYGCCTAGAACTTGGTAATAAGTCTTGCTACCCTTCCTAGGCCTTTGGGCAACAGCAAATGATCGTGACATGCTGCAGGCAATCCCGTGCTCCTGGCTGTGTCGCATTCCAGGTTCTGCTTGGATTTTGTATGTGCTGTGGCTGAAAGCAATGCTGGAAACTTAACAGGGACTGTGGATCTAACCCATAGGAGGTGCTGTGTCTTGATACCTGTAAAATCTGAAATTCTGGCTGGTAGGATGAAAAAATATTTTGAAAATTAGGTAGAATTTGTTAAAATTAYTCCCATTCTCACTGAGAAGAAGCTTGGGGTTGTATTGTGTCTCTGGCTTTGTGTTTCTTCTCTTCTGTGTGTACCTAAAGACAATTTAATGGCCATAGAGGTTTAGGCATTTGTCCCTTCTGCCCTCAAAGAAGCCCTTAAGGTGTGTGGTGGGGAATAGGRCACATTCCATTCGCAAATACTGCTTTGCAGGTTAATTGCCAGTTTGGTCTGATAGGATTCCAGTCTTGTAACGTTCTGTAGATAAACTGGTTTAGTCCAGTCCTTGAATTTTGTCAGAACAATGATTAAAATAAGGGGAAAAAAATTAATGCAACTTCAAAATGATAATGTTGGCATTAATGAGGTGTGTTTTACTTTGAAGAGCTCTAATGTGACAAGACAAATTGTTTTCAGAACTATGGTCTTGGAMTATCAGTCTTGTCTTCCCCTGCTGTAATTAATGAAGATTAGTGTGTTGGTTACTTAAGGTAAATTTTGGGGGATYGATCTGTGTGATTCTGTTAAGGTCATAAGCTTTTCATGAGGCAAACCAATTTCCAGGGATCCAGGCTGGAGCAGCTTTGGAGCAAAAGAAAAAGGAGTGTATGTGAGAAAAAGCAGAATAGAAGGTTTAGAAATGCTGGTAAAGCTTTGAAGAATGAAACAGAAGAGCTGAAAAGGGGAATGCAAAGGATTCCAGGTACAGCTGGGGGAATCCTGGCATGTTTGTGAGTGTATGGGTGGGTTTGAGGTGGGAGTAGTTGAGACTCTGTGAGGCTTTCAGGCATCTTTGAGAGCCTGTGCAGCACGTCAGGCATTTTCCCAGCTGTGATAGTGCATTCCARCAATGGCAAATTGGCTTCAGTCTGGTGATAACATACGGCAGCTTATCCATCTCCAGTTGGAAGTGTGGTATTCTAGGACTTGGCTTTGAAGAACCATTCTTACAAAGGAAATAAGTATTCTTCCTTCTAAGGAAAACCCTCATGGGAGAACATGATAGCACTGCTAGATAGAATTTCTGCTGGATTAGCTAAAAAGCAAAAACTTTAAAATTTTTTTTTGCTGTAAAGTAACTGCTCATATTTTACTGTTATGGTCACATTGGAGAAAATAATTCCTTAGGGAACATCTTTATGATACCTCCCTAAATTGTGACCAATTCCTGCTTATGTTTTTAGTAGAATTTTCTCCCTGGATTAGCTGATGTATATTTTCTGATTTAGGTGAGCTAGATTTGAATTGTTCCTTCTTTTTGGTCTTGTTGCTGGCTTTCCTAACAGTTTTCTGCTTTTACAAATGGTTGGGGGTTTGGGGCCAAGGGGACACTGTATTTATCAAGTCATATTACAGTGGGGTACTTGTCAGGCACTAACGTTTTCTGATAAGTATTTCTGTACAACAGCATTGCAAAAGACAGATTCTTTGGAAAATTTCAATGGGAAAATTCCTCCGTGCCCCTGTCAGTCACTCCTCAGGATGAGAGAATCTATTTTTGTYCTTTCCTGACACTACCTGTGTGTTGTTCGAATGCTGTAAGGGAACATGCCAACTTAACAGTATTTCAGGTGTGACAYGTGTTTGGCTGTGCACTCAGAGTTGACATTTCAATAGTACTGTCCAGTTATAGAAAATTCCTCAGGCCCTGTGTGGTGTAATTTGAAATCTGGGAACAGAACAAATCTCAACTTGAACAGTTTATGAATGTAGGAGAAAGTTTGTTTCCCTTGATAGAAATACTAATATTGRACTTTGTTTCTTAAATGCTTTATTTTAACATATTTTGGGAACTTTATAGAAATGTATGGAATGTGTTGGAGAGGAGAGGATAGGGGAAGAGCAGGAAGAAGGGATCATGGTGGACCTTTTTCCCACTTCCCCACAGGCATCTCCAGTGTGATTCTTTCATGTGAGGGTTGTCTACCAATGAAATTTATCTCTCATGCCTTCAGTAACTGAGTGTTTTTAGTTTCCCAGGTCGATTGCCTGACTGTCACAACTAGTATATTTGTGAGTTTCTGGATGGTGTTGGGAATTCGTCTGGATTTACTGGGGTAAAACTAGATCCTTTGAAGTGTGTCCACATGATCTGTCTCATACCAGCATATTCAGGGCAGTGTTCCCAGGTATTTTTTAATGAAACTGGAACTTCCTGCTCCTCTGTACATATTAGAGAAGTTGGCTGTGTACCTGAGAACAGTTTGAGTCCAGGCACAAGAACTTCCCTGGAGAAAGATAAAGCATCTGAATGTCCACAACTCACATTCCAGGAAAATCTGGAGATCTTTTAAGTATTGCTTTCTGAGAGTCCTAAGTACAAGGCAGTATTTTTAAAAGTTCCTTAAAAATATTTGAAGCTGACAATCTCATCCTGAAGAAGCCAAGTATTCTTTTCATAYGATCACGTAACAGAAATCTGGAAAAGCAGAGAGAGATGTAGTGGCTGTGAGGGACACACACAGAAACACTCTTCTTCTGGAAAGGCTTTTCTTATGTCTGCATCCTCACAGGTGCAGGAAAAGACTGGGGAATCATAGGGGCAGGGTCACAGTGGGTAAATGGGATTCTCTACCAGACTCCAGAAGKTTTGAGAAGTGTAACCTCTTTCTATTGAGTATTTCAAAATGTTTCTCAGAATGCTATTTGCAAGTCTTGTACCAGATGGTATTGTATTATGTGGAAGGAGGAAGAGGGTACCTAAAAATGTTGTTCTTCCAGGTYTGTATGTTCTTCTTCAGGGGAACCTCAATGTAGGATGAGTTTG